AGCCAAAATGCTGAAAACAGATCACAAAGGAAAGAAATGGAGGAAAGCAAATGACTGGATATAGAGTTCAAAACCACAGTTATAAGGTTTTTCAAGAATTTTCTAGAAAAGGCTGATAAATTTAGCAAGACCCTCAAGGTTATGAAAAAGAACCAACTAGAAATTAAGCATACACTGATTGAAATAAAAAAAAATATTATACAGAGATCTAACAGCAGACTAGAGGATCATAAGAATCAAGTCAAAAATTTGAAATACAAAGAAGCAAAAAACATCCAACCAGAAAAGAAAAAAAAAATCCAAAAATATGAAGATAGTGTAAGGAGTCTCCGGGACAACTTCAAGTGTACCAACATCAGAATTATGGAGGTGCCAGAAGAAGAGAGAGAGCAAGATACTGAAAACCTATTGAAGAAATAATGACTGAAAACTTCCCCCACCTGGTGAAAGAAATAGACTTATAAGTCCAGAACACACAGAGAACTCCAAACAAAAGGAATCCAAAGAGGATCGCACCAAGACACATCATAAAATGACAAGAGCAAAAGACAAAGAGAGAATATTAAAAGCAGCAAAAGAAAAACAGTTAGTTACTTACAAGGGAGCACCCATACGACTGTCAGCTGATTTCTCAACAGAACCTATGCAGGCCAGATGGGAGTGGCGAGAAATATTCAAAGTGATGAATATTAAGAACCTATAACCAAGATTACTCTACCCAGCAAAGCTATCATTCAGAATTGAAGGTCAGATAGAGCTTCACAGATAAGAAAAAGCTAAAGGAGTTCATCACTGCCAAACCAGAATTATATCAAATGCTGAAAGGTATTCTTTAAGAAGAGGAAGAAGAAGAAAAAGGTAAAGATAAAAATTATGAACAACAAATACATATCTATCAATAAGTGAATCTAAAAGTAAGTGAATAAAAAATGTGATGAACAGAATAAACTGGTGAGTATATCAGAATCAGGGGCATAGAAAGGGAGTGGACTGACAATTCTCAATGGGGAGAGGGATGTTGGTGGTGCAGGGAGAGACTGGACAAAAATCATACACCTATGGATGAGAACAGTGTGTTTGTGTGTGGGGAGGGTCAGAACAGAGGGTGGGGTGGAAACCAGGTGGAGGGAAGCTATGGGGAAAAAAGAGGAACAATTGTAATAATCTGAAAAATAAGGATATATTAAATTAAAATAAAAATGGTTAGAGAACCTGAATATATAGATGGTCAAAGAGAACATATAGATGGTCAATGGAAAATGAAAAGATACTCAAATATTTAATCATCAGGGAACTAGAAATCAAAACCACAATGAGATATCACCTCACATCTGTCAGGATGGCTATCATCAAAGAACAAATAAGTGTTGGTGAGGATGTTGAGGGAAGGAATTCCTTGTGTACTGTGGGGGGGATAATACAATTGTACAGCCATTATGAAAAGTAGTATGGAGGTTTCTTAAAAATTAAAAACAGAACTACCGTATGATCTAGCAATTCCACTTCTGGGCAATTATCTGAAGAAAGCCAAAACACTAATTTGAAAAGATATATGAATCCCTATGTTCATTGCAGCATTATTTACACTACCCAATATATGGATGCAATCTAACTGTCCATTGATAGATGAATGGATAAAGAAGATATGGTATAAATATACTATGGAATATTAAACAGTCATAAAAATAATAAAATCTCCATTTGCAACAACATGAATGGATCTAGAGAGTATTATGCTGAGTGAAATAAGTTGAACAGAGAAAGACAAATACCATATGATTGAATTTATATGTGGAATCTAAAAAACAAAACAAACTAACAGAAGCAAACTTATAGCTATAGAGAACAAACTGATGGTTGCCAGATGGAAGTGGGTTAGGGTGATGGTTGAAAAGGTGAAGGAGTGAAGAAGTAAAAGTTTCTAGTTATAAAATTAATCATGGTGATGTACAGTAGAGCTAAGGGAATTTAGTCAATATTCGAATAAATATGTATGGTATCAGATGGGTGCTGTCAAAACAAAAATGACAGGGGACAGAATTAGGAAAGTTTCTTCAATGAAAAAAAATCCAGAATTCAGTCTGAACTCAACTCTACTGACATAAATGATGGAAAATATTTCAAGACCTGAGGTGGGGAATGGAGGGTAGGAATTCTGAGTTAGAGTAGAGGAACCCTAGTCATCTGTATTTGCTAATTGGCCTTACCCAAAGGAAAAATAAACTTTTCCTTATCCTCATGACAGGAGGGAGCAATACAACTTGGGGCAAGGCCCCAACTCAAATTAAAAACCCTCCATGGAGTCTGGGAAACAGGGGCCTATTTTCTTGATGATTATGTTCAAAAGCTCTGGTTCTCCCATATCCTTGAGATATTCAGCCCTGGGCCATAAAACTGACAAGTGTCTTTTTTAAAAAGTTTCCATCTTAAAAGGTCAGAGAAATAATTTACAATTCTAAGATTTCCAAAGTAAATGCTCTAAGAAAAGGGAGGTGAGAACCTCTGGGGTTAGGTCTCTGTATTCTGTAAGAACAAAGGTGAGGGGGAGAGCAGGGGCCCACAGGCAGAAAGAAGCCTAGAGTTGTTACAGCTGAGGGAAATGTTAAAAGGCCACCTTGGTTCACATTTAACACTAAAAGAAACATTTAAAAAATAAAAATATCAATATCAAATCAAATGTATAACCACGAGTAGAGATAATCTACCACATTGTGTTATCGTCAAAGCGCAATTTGTCACACAAAAACCAGGCGTTCTTTTTCCTCCTGCCTGTCTGCCTTGCTTTCTGTCTTTAGACCAGCAGTTGGCAATAGCATGGCCACAATCAAACCCAGTCCATAGTTTTTTTGTTTGTTTGTTTTTTGTTTTGTTTTTTAAAATATATATATTTTATTGATTTTTTACAGAGAGGAAGAGAGAAGGATAGAGAGTTGGAAACATCGATGAGAGAGAAACATTGATCAGCTGCCTGCCTCCTGTACAACCCCCACTGGGGATGTGCCTGCAACCAGGGTACATGCCCTTGACCGGAATCGAACCCGGTACCTTTCATTCCACAGGCCGACGCTCTATCTACTGAGCCAAACTGGTTTCGGCCAGTCCATAGTTTTTGTTTTTAAAATACAGTTTTATCAGGATACAGCCATAGCCATTTGTTTACTTAATGTCTTTGGCAATTTTTGCACTAGGAGTGCTGAGTTGAGCAGTTATGACAGAGATTTTATGACTCACATAGCAGAAAATATTTACTATATGGCCATAAATAGAAAAAAAATTGCTGACTCCTGATTTATACTAGTTCCTAGAGTGACAGGAACTTTGTAAAAACTTAGTTTCCAGATACATAATAGGACCCTAGTCACCTGCACATCACTTGATATCAAAAAGTATTTAAAACTATCATCTGTTGTTGTTTACATATGTTAAAGGGTAAGAAAAATACAAGTGATAAAAACAAAGGAAGAGTGATTCTCCTCTTTTAAACTATCATACATTCATAATTTTTTTCTGAATTAACATGAATGTGCTTCTCAGAATATATCTAAGAAATATGAAACTAAAGAAATCTGAATCAGCTCAAAGAGATATTTCATAATAAATATAACTTTCTTTTACTGGGATTCTTCCCAAGTGATTTTTAAAATTTATTTCTAATTTTATTTTAAGCATAGCTTTCTTTTCAGCAGATCACTTAACTTACTTTGGAGTGCATTTTAATTGCACTAAAAAATTATAGGTGTCTTGCTGAATTATTACAGCCACTGACATGGGACAGAGCAGATGGCAAATCACAGACTCCATTATGGCTACTCAGTTACAAAGGAGGTTTCCTCTAAAGGAGTGAGAGCCCTGCCAGTGGGCGTGAGCAAGCAGAGGGATAATGACTACCAGCCAGGGATGCAGGAACAGGGATTTTGAGGGGAGTTCACTTGGATAAATTCTAAGTTCTTTTTCTTATTGCATCTAAGAATCTGTCTTTATTATTTAACATTAGGACTTTCTGTAAACTGAAAAAGCACACATTTTATCAGAAATTTACATATGCTATTTTGTGATTAAATGCTATAAATAGTAAACTTTGACAAAGAACACTGAATTTGGTTCAGTACACATCCATCAGTAAGGTGGTTGAAAATGACTGATTATTTGGGCCATCATCTATTCAGCTCATGTGAAATATAATCAGATCATTAATATAAAAGAACAGCCCTCTAATATTTGTACATAAATAGTTTACATAGTATATGCAGCATATATCTGAACAAAACGCAGTTACAAACTTCCAGGTTTCAAAAGGTAAAGGATAAGCAAGTATTAACCCAATTCTAAATCCTTACTGATACGCTTCAGTCCGGGTATGTGTCTGTATGGCTCACTTCGGTAGTGCCATATTTACTGTGGTGTTTGGGTTCTACAGGTGCTCAATAAATCTTTATTTTACTGAATTAGCATCAATGATATCAATGTAGGAGGGAATGATATAGTCCAATGTTTGGGTTAAGGCATTATAATGGCTCTAGATATATCCTTGACATTAATAGGCTCTGTAACCTTGCATGATGCTCTTTGATCATCATCAGGCTTTAACTTTCTCAGATATCAAACAAGGCACTGGTTCTCACACTTCAGAGTATATGAGAATTACTTGTAGGGCTTGTTAAAGAAAAGATCATTGGGCCTCACCTTCAGGTTTTGATTCACTAGGTCTGGGGTAAAGTGGAAAATTTGCATTTCTAAGTTCTGAGGTGCTGTGAATGCTAGTAGTTCAGGGGCCATACTTGGAGAACAAAATAAAAATCTGAGAAGACAGTGGTAAGTGAATTACCACATCATTAATATTTTAAAGCTGGTAAGAGACAGGGTACACTAAAATGGCCCATGAAAATGGAATTGTCTTTTACATGAAAATTTCAATTAAATGAGAAGAAGAGATATGAATGTGTGTGTTTTTAAGATCTCAACGGAGATTTCTGAGAACATAAATGTCCTATGGTACTTACGTCATAGCTTGATAAATGGATTCAATCCCATAGCGCATGGCAAACTCATCGACTATTTCTTGGGAAGCATCATCAAAGAAAACCTTCCAGGCTTCATCCCCTTTGACCTCTGGGATTTTCACTGCACCATTAGATTTCACTTCAGTCAAGTAATGGAACAGATTCTAAAAGCAAGTGATTTTCAATTGTTCAGTAATTCATTAGGATAGGCCAAAAGTATCTAACTGTAACTTTCAATACATTATACTTGCACTGTGATTGCGTCTAATGTTTCATCAGTATTTGTATGCAATAGTAATAGCTTGGATCTTTATTCTAACATCAAATTTATGCAAATTCTGATTATATTTCTCTCTGGGTCTATACAGGAGCAATAATTAAAATGTTTCATACATACCCAATCATGTTAGGAGAAAGTAAAAGTTTTTACATGCAAACATTTCTACATGCTAGAACATATTTTGCAGATGGGCTCTGAGTAAATCTTAGAGCCCTGATTGAATAATCTGATTTTGTCTGTGTTAATACAGAATCTAGGTATGTAAATACCCTGTTTTCCTGAAAATAAGACAGTGTCTTATATTAATTTTTTTGCTCCCAAAGATGCGCTAGGTCTTATTTTCAGAGGATGTATTATTTTCAGGGAAACACGATACTAGAGGGCTTTTCCTGCAAAATGGTAAAGAATCAGGGCAGTGAACTGAGGTTGAAATGCATGTTTGAGATTCTATAATAGAAAATCTCACTACATAGAATTCCTTCTGTTTCTAACAAGTTTAGAAACTGCTGCATGGATGTAGCCTGAAGGAGCCCTTCTTGAGTTTCAGGTATTTGGTTTCGGTTTGTTTTGTTTTGTTCTTTGACTAGCGGGTAAAAAAGCAAAGCATAATGCTGTCCTCCTGATACGCCCACACCTTAAAGCTCCCATCTTGCCAGTTCCAGGATTTTTTTTTTTTTATTGGTCTAAAAACTTAACCACTATGAACGGTAGACTTAAATATCATCTGTTGTTGTTTACAATTAAAGGGTAAGAAAGATACAAGTGATAAAAACAAAGGAGGGGTGATTCTTCTCTTTTAAACTATCATACATTTACCAGTTTTTTTTTTTGTTTTGTTTTTTTTTCTGTATTAACATGATTGTGCTTCTCAGAATTCCTTCTTGAAGGAACGATAACACTGAACAGATAATGGTCAGAAAATTAAGCCTTTGCCCTATATATAACTACTATCCAATATATAAAAGATCTACATACTGTTCCTCATGACTTCTTTAGTAAATGGAGGTGCAAATAATTGCACATAAATATTTATAGATATTTGAAAAAATAGTATGTGAAGATACTCTCAGCTTGTCTTTGCTCTTAGGGTACTTTCACTTCACTTCTTTGGATATAGGGAAAAGTACATTCCTCAATTTCTCCTACTATTTTTTTTATATACATGGGACAAGTGTCATTTGTATCAGAGAATCGTTTTGGGTACACCTCTAACTGAGCTCTCTGATGCAAAGCATCCAATAGAAGCCCAAGATTATTTGTGTATCTACACTGAGACACAAAAAGGAACTGGTGAGTCTCCTGTTAGAATCACATAGAGTGGTCTTTACTTCTCTCTAATTCTGCTGGGCCCTACCTTTTGGGTGGGTATATTGTCTACTACTATGAGTAGGTTACTACATTCTGACACTCTCATACTCAGATATGCTTGTGGAAAGGATAGATAAAATGCAGTGGATCCAATATGTATAAAGTCCTTTGTAGTACTCAGAAAAAGGAAGAAAAAATATTGCTCCTAACTCCTTTGGTACAACATCAGCACTTTATAGTTCTAGTTGTAAACAGTATTATTAATTAAACCTCCAATAAAACCCAAACACTAACAGAGTTCTAAAAAAAATCATTCATTAGTTATATCCCCTTCTTCATTACTGGAGTACCACTATATCTTCTATGCTTCCAAAATGTTCACCATGGCTTATTTATGCAATAAATGCTTTTTAACATTCTTTGTTCTCCTTGCAAGAATGGTCATTTCATTTGGTCTGTTAGTTTATTATCTCATTGCCTTGTTTATTCATACCCATCACATGTGCTTTTTCTAAACTCCCAGTACAGGACACCCATCTGCATCCATACTGCTAGAGTATAGAGTAAGAACTCCAGAAACAACTCCACCAAGCTAACTCAATTACATATTTTAGACCAAAAATTTTATCGTATGATTTACAGTCCAGAACAATTTCTTTTCCAGGATTTTTAGTAATACAATTCCAGTTTCTTACCTCATGTAAACATGTATACTGTATATGATATGGAGCAACCTTCTCCTCTCCTTTTATTTCCACATTGATTTTCAATCTAATGGCCCCAGATACAGCTGACTTATCTGTCCGTTTCTCTGACAAAACAAAAAGGAATTGGTCAGTCATTTGTGATAATCCCATATTCTGCATACAAGTTCTGAGAGGCTTAAAAGGGGTTTACATTGCTAAAGCCATTCTTCTAGATCAGGCTTGATTATCCCACCATAGTGATTCTGCTAAATAGAACTTAAAGTAATGTGCCTATTGTGTCACTGTGATTCAAACTATACATTACAGATACTTCCTCTAGAAAAGCTTACTCAGAAGTCCTTGCCATTCTGAGATAAATGGCTGGGTACTTGGTTAGAATATCCAATAAAATTAAATTATTTGGCCCTTTAAAAGCAATATAACATAAACATAAAATTAACCAGGAAAGTAATTTATCTAAAAGCTTCACTCTTTCTGTGCTTGAAAAGATGAGTCAAAGCTCTGGCTAACAAAAGAATTATTGCTTTCTTTGTTCGTGATTCATCAAGACCTACAGTCTACCACCTGTTTTTAATCATGAGTTTTAGATTAACTGTTTACTTGAATGGAATAAATATGTAGTTAATTCAGTCAAGTAATGTGTATGTACACACACGTACATATTAGTTCAATACTAATCAGTAGCTTTGAGAGAAATAAAAGCAGTCACTAATTTCCTGGAGTGTGAATGTAGGTAGGGGACCTACATCTGTCGCCCACTCCACAGATGAACATAGAGAGGCAAGCTGACCCATTTCATAAATGAAGTGTCAGTAGAGAGAGTGCCACAAAATAGTGGCATCTTTCTAAGTATAACTATTTTTAGCCATGAGATAAATTTAAACCATGAAATCTACTTATTTTTCTTAGGAAATATCTGCTGACATTTTATTGTTAATATTTAAGGGTCACTGTATTATGAAGAGTCTTCCCTCAGGGATGGCAGTATCATGAGAGTTTCTCTTGCTGGCTGAGAGATTGTTGATTCTCAACAAATATTAACGTTCTCTGCTGAGACCAAAAGAAATTCAACTCCCAGGGCTTTTTTTTTTTTTTTGGTAGAGGGCTGCCTGGGAAGACACAAGGACATTTTCCTTAATTATCTTCAACTGAACTCAAGGCGTAGGCAGAGCCACACCTTGGGAACATGTTTCCCCAAGATGGCGGACATGTTGTCAACTTGGTCTTCATATTAGCTCAGGTGTCGGCAGGGAAGGGAGTAGATATGTAAATCCAGGCATTCTAGGGCCTACTTAAGAATGCAAATAAGTTGGTGTTACTTCCTGGCATTGGGAGTATAAAATAAATTCGCTGAGAGGGGTGGTCATCTTCTTCCTGCCTCTCCAGCAGACAGGATGGCAGCCCACCCAGCTCCCAGCTTAAAATCTATCTCTGTGTCTTCTCTCTTTATTTCTAATATTTCTCAATCCCTGGCCACCTCCACTTTGTTCATCTCTCTTTCTGTGCGGGACAGGAAAAAGGGAGATCCCCGCCACGTCTGGCCCCCGCTGCATCAGGTCCCCACATTTTTTTTTTTTTTTCTTTTCACAGAGCTCTTTTCATAGTCCCAGGGGAACACTACTGGTTCTATAACTTTCATCATCCCAATGGATACAAGGGGCCCAGGCTTTGCTTGGATGCTCAAGGTTTTTGGCCAAGTTCTCCTCTGCCTTGAGGAATGAATACTAAGCGATAAGAAGACCGCTATACAAAGAATGGAAATATGGTGCTTATGTGGACTGAACCTCTGAAGGATTTTACCAAAGCTAAAACTTGTCCTCCATCCCTCCTCTTTTAAAAATTTATTAAATAAGGAAAGAGGGCACAGATGTGCAAACAGAAGATGAGCAGGCAAAGTCTTCCATGCTGTGTAATATCATGTTTTCCTCTCCATAGACGAAACATGAGAGCTGGGTAGTGACTACTAACAGCATGTTCAAATTCCTCGGCAAATAATATACCCGTGTGTCTTTTGTCAAAAGAACAATTTGAGAAATTTCTGTTCTGAATTCTAACTGCCTCAATTTAAGGATATGCTAACTTATTACAGGAAAATGCCCAAGTATAGGCAAACTCTTTAATTGAAGCACAATTTGTGAGTATTGCACAGAGTTAATGGCTTAACTTTACCCTGGCCTAACATCTCTATTTTCATATATATAAATCTATTTTATAGTAAAAGTAAGATGTGGAAAGATGATGATTATAACTGAGGTAAAAATTTTATGCCAGTAATGTAGATGCACCAATTCTCTTTGAGGGAAATCTTTAAAATAGTTTTTTGATAATTAATTCTTAAATGTAGCTTGAATTTTGTGTGCAGATAAGTTATATATTGCTCATTCTTTAAATTTTATACAATTTGGAGTTTTATTAATTCAATTACCTTATCTCTCTATTTGTCAAATATTATATTACTTGAGGTATGCACATTTTAAAAAACCCAAAAGCACTCTTTGATTTGCTAATATATTGTTATCCTAAATGGAAACTCTGTAATCTTGAAACTGTGTAATCCCTTCTTTGATTCACCACCAGCCATTAATAATTTAATTAAAACATTTCTAATGACATGATTAAGAAATTTTGGATCATATACTTTACAGAAACTGAGTGATCCATAATTTTTAATACTATTAAATCAACACTGAAGATTCTAGACTACTATTTAATTATAGTAAAAGTCAAATTAAAAGTTATATTTTTTGAAAATATATTTTTATTGATTTTTAACAGAGAGGAAGGGAGAGGGATAGACAGTTAGAAACATGGATGAGAAAGAAACATCGACCAGCTGCCTCTTGCACACCCCTTACTAGGGATGTGCCTGCAATCAAGATACATGTCCTTGACTGGAATCGAACCCGGGATCCTTCAGTCCACAGGCTGACGCTCTATCCACTAAGCCAAATAGGCTTTGGTTTAAAAGTTATCTTTATTTAACTATTGGTTGAATAATAACGTATCATTTAACAGTCATGCCAATTAAACATATTCTCCATATTGTCATTTTTAGAATAAGCATAAGTTCACAGATTTACTTGGCTTTGGCAGCTAAAATCAACATTTATATTACCATTTGAAAAATATCTAAAATACACATTTCCTTTATTGCCAACATTCATTAAGGGATCAAAAGGAAATAACTCAAACAGTATCAAGTCATAGGTTGATTATTAGTTTTTATTACATTTGGCAAAGGTTTTTGGAAATACATCTTTCTGATTTAAAAATTAAGAATGGGCTAATTTTTTTCTCCTGAAATACATCTAATTGATTCTTTGACTTTCCTCTTTTCATCTCAAACTTACCAATGCCTTCCAATAATTGAAGTTCAATAAAGAATTATCCCATTTTTTTCTAATGAAGCTAGACCACATAAAGTCCAACTGAATTTTCTAGAAAGGCATTGGTCATTTTTGTCTATAAGGGAATAGAATATATACCACAGATATTCTGGAAATTTATTTAACTTTTTATCAGACACTCACCTAAGTTGTACCAGACATCCATTTCTCCACTCAGGGTCCTCACTTCTACAATTGTTTGTCCCAGAAAATCATCTGATTCCTTTTTGAAATGTTGCTTGACTCTGGATTTGATGTCATCATCTTCATCCCACACTCTGACTTTGATTCGATCTGTGGAGTTATGGCACTCACTGAAAATAAATGCGGGTAAGTTAACAACCACCGACAACGGCTCTAAATGGCATTTGATGTTAGCAACTTATTTTAAGCTGTATAATCCAGGAAGGCATAGTATATTACATAATAAACTATATTTCCCACTGACCCATTCAATCCATGGTATGTTGTAGGTATCAGGGATATTGAAGAAAGTTGTATTACTTAAATAATGTCAAGTAAAGAAAAAGCATATCCTATTCCATCTATTTGTTTTAACTAAACTAGATATAAATAAATTTGAGTCAGAAATATTTGTTTGGGGTATTTTGACTTATGTCTTATTCATAACAGTTGTCTACAACAACATATTTATGCTAAAAAATTCTGCATCATAAATATAAAACCAATTTTATTGCAAAATGGCTGTTGCAAAAGCAGACATCACATAATCCAGTTATAAACTCAAAATCCCAGTAAAAAATATAAATATAAATATAAATATAAATATAAATATAAATATAAATATAAATATAAATGTAAATATAAATATAACTATAACTAACTATAACTGTAACTAACTATAACTATAACTATAACAACTATAACTATAACTAACTATAAATATAAATGTAAATAAATATATATGGAGAGAGAGAGAGCTAATATGTAATATGCTAATTGGTCCTAACAGTGTCACAGTAACGACCAATTTGCATATGGACAGACCAGCAGGAGGCTGCCTACGCAGCAAGGGGCAGGCAGCTGGAGCCTAGTTCCTGGGGGGTCTGAGGAGAGTGCCTGAGAGGAGTCTGGCCTGTAAAGAAGGAAGAGGATGCGGCCACAGGGAGCTCTTCCAATCCCCCTGCACAGACACCCTACCCCAGCTTCCACACCCCCAGGAGGACTGACAGGATGGGGAGAAGACCCAGCCTGGGGAGTAGCTGCAGCCCAGACCTCAGACTCCCCATCTCTTCCCCCACCACCCCAGCAGGAGTGCCCACAACAATAGCAGGCCAGCAAACACCCATCTGCACCTCCAAGGCACCGGGGCTCCACAGCCTGCTGCTGCTGAGCCCCCTCTACTGGGGCCCGGCATGCCTCCCCTCCCCACAACTCCATACCCAGGTGGAGGCAGGCCTGAGTGGCCCCCCAGTGTCAGCCCCTTTCCCCCTGACAGCAGAAACACCTTCTCCGTGGTGGGAGTGCGCTGAACCTCACCAGGAGTGCGGCTAAACCCACCCTCCTAGCACACCTGGCTCCGCCCTGGCCCAGCCCCACCCCGCTCCAGGAGATTGGAGCCACGCCCTGAGCAGGTAGAGCTGTGAAACAGCCACATACAATTTAAAGAATGGCATCAAGTGGGAAGGTTTGACAGTTACTCCCCTTTGGGCCTGGCTGCCCCCTAGTGCCCCCTAATGCCCCACCTCCCACCAACGCCCTTAGGGACAACCACTGCTACAGGGCTGCTAGCTAGAGCCTGCCTCTCTGACGCCTGTTGGACCCTCTGCAAAGCTCCCATAGCTACAGTCCCAGAAAACAATCATGCCCTCCTCCCGTAATCAGCACCTGCTACCTGCGAAGGTACCTATGAGCTTAACAATAACAACCCCTTCCCATTTAGACATTACTTACTTTTTAAAAAAAATATATATTTTATTGATTTTTTTGCCCCCCTCCCTCCCTCCCACACATCCCCTCCCTCCCCAGAGTTTTATGTCCATTGGTTGTACTTATAAGCATGTATTAAAGTCCTTCAGTTGATCTATTATCTCCCCCAGATCTTCCTCCCCTCCCCGCTGTAATTTGACAGTCTGCTTGTTGATATACTGTCTCTATATCTATCTTTTGGTTCATCAGTTTATAATGTTCTTTATTATCCACAAATGAGTGAGGTCATGTGGTGTTTTTCTTTCATTGACTGGCTTATTTCACTCAGCATGATGTTCTCCAATCCCATCCAGGTTGCTGCAAATGATGAGAATTCCTTCTTTTTTATGGCAGCATAGTATTCCATCGTGTAGATGTACCATAGTTTTCCAAGGTGCAGCAAATGCCCCACCGTGGGAGCAATTTGATTTTAAGTGAGGGCAATTTGAGAATGAGTTAACAGTGAATTTTTTGCATTTCTTATGGTTCTAGGGAGTTTCACCTACAGCGTATCCTACATAATAAAAGGCTAATATGCAAATGACTGAATGGTGGAATGACCAGTCACTGTGATGTATACTGACTACCAGGGGCAGACACTCAAGGCAGGAGCTGCCACCTGCTGGTCAGTGTGCTCCCCCAGGGGGAGTGCTGCTCAGCCAGAAGCTGGGCTCATGGCTTGTGAGCAGTGGTGGGAGCCTCTCCCGCCTCCATGGCAATGCTAAGGATGTCTGACTGATGGCTTAGGCCCACTAAGCTGTCAGTTGAACATCCCTCCAGGGCTCCTGGACTGCAAGAGGACACAGGCCAGGCTAGGGACCCCCCCCCCCAAGTGCATGAATTTTGTGCACCGGGCCTCTAGTATAACATATTGTTAAATCAAATCGACTTACAACATCCTTTTGTTTTTAACAATAAACTGCACATTTTAGTCCATTCATCATTTCCAGGATTCTTCCTATCTTGCTGATGTAAACTACTTAATACTGGCCATACATAAAATGGTTTTTCTTATAATAATATATAAGGCTAATATGCTAAGTGTCTGACTGGTAGCTATGACATGCACTGACCACCAGGGGCAGACATTCAACACATGAGCTGCCCTGACATGCAGAGGCCATTTAGAAAGAAACGGCACCATGGAACTGGTGCCCACAAGGCAACACCCTGCTTCCCACAAGTGGGACACAGGCCTCACCACCACTCCGGAGTGACAGCCCAATAAATTGCAGCAGACTCTGCCGAGTCCCCGTGGTGCACAATGTGGCCCACAGCCAAGCCCAGCCCAGAAATGGTTGCTGTGGGAACTGGATAATGATGTCACACAGTAATACCTGGCTTCCTCTCTCTAGAGACAGGCCATTTAACAATAAACAGCACCACAGACCTCGCACCTACAAAGCAACACTCGGCTTCCCCCAAGTGGGACACAGGCCCCACCACTAAGCTAGAGCAACAAACCACCAAATTGCAGCCAATGCTGCTGAGACCCCATGGTGCAAAATATGGCCCACAGCCCAGCCCAGAAACAGTCGCAGTGGGTGCTGGGTAATGACATCATGTAGCTAGGCCAGGCTTCCTCTCCTTAGCTACTAGCCTCTTTGCAGTTTTTTCAGCACAGGAACACGATACCTCAAAATGAAACACGTATCTGCCTTATGATTCAATGATTCCACTTCCGGAAATTTATCCTAAGAAACTAATTCAAAAGTATGTTTGCACTCTGTGTTCATTGTAGCATTATTTATAATAGTCAAGATTTGAAAGCAGCCCAAGTATCCATGAATATACACAAGTGTATATAAAAAAGAAAAAAGCTATGATACATTTACACCTTGCAATACACACATACATATAGCATCAACTCTCCCTCTCTGTATATAATACATTATGTAAGTATGTTATATAGCAAGAGTGGACAGAGATAGTACTATCTTTCTTTCCAAGTGTCTATAAGAAATAAGCTTATTTTTGTACCAGGGAGTATACTTTTCAAATGCCCACCTATTTTTCCATTAAATTTCTGCATTAATTTGCTTAGTATTTTTTTTAATATATTTTATTGATTTTTTTACAGAGAGGAAGAGAGAGGGATAGAGAGTTAGAAACATCGATGAGAAAGAATCATCGATCAGCTGCCTCTTGCACACCCCCTACTGGGGATGTGTCCGCAAACAAGGTACATGCCCCTGCCTGGAATCAAACCTGAGACTTTTCAGTCTGCAGGCCGATGCTCTATCCACTGAACCAAACCGGTTTTGGCGCTTTGTATTTTTAAAAAAAAATATATTTTATTGATTTTGTACAGAGAGGAAGGGAGAGAGATAGAGAGTTAGAAACATCGATGAGAGAGTCATCGATCAGCTGCCTCTTGCACACCCCCTACTGGGGATATGCCGGCAACCAAGTTACATGCCCTTGACCGTAATCGAACCCGGGTCCCTTCAGTCCTCAAGCTGATGCTCTATCCATTGAGCCAAACCAGTTTTGGCTATTTTTTTTATTATAAAAATATCAAAAGTTCACTATGCCCTCATCCATATATCCATCTATTTATTCAATCACTCACTAAGCAGTAATTTATTGAATAGACACAAAGGAGGCTTATCAAGGTTACATAATTTAATCAACCAAACTCTTCCTTTTTTAAGGTCAAAATAAAACATATATGAAATTATTGTTTTTTATATTTTATATATTGTTATTTATATTTCTCCTGAATCAAATTTCAATTGATTCAGGAGAAATATAAATAATTAATGATCTTCCCCTAAAAATATATTTGTGCTTTTGCCAAAGGGAATTTCAATCTCTCTGCATTTCTCATTGATTCTATTTAATTTTCATTTTTAAATTAGGTAAACCTTAAAATTTAGAACAATTTTAGATTTACAGAAAATTTGCAAGGAGAGTACAGAGACTTCTTCCTGTCCCACACTTAGACTTCCCTTTTGTTAACATCGTTCATTAATAACACTTGTTCTTCTTGTTTATCATAAAAATGTACTAGTTCCTACTTTCATTATGTTTTCTCAAGTGCTATTTTGAGGAATATTAAAAATAAACAATTTGAGGTTTAAATGGTCAAAGACATAAATTGGTCTCTTCAGAGTAAAAGACAGCAGTGAGACTGATGTTTCTAATATAGGAACTGAGAATTAGTGAGAATTTTTCAGTGGGTATAAAATCAGAGATTTAGTCTAAGATAGTGTGGTGGAGAGTCATCTTATATAAATGCCTGACATATCTAAACATTCTCCTTTTTTTTTGTCTCTATCCTTCATCTTTTCAATACTTAAGCTAGATAACTCATGTTACTAGATTCCTTTGCATCTATGGTCAACATATTTGACATGCATTCAAGTAAGATCTGAACTAAAAA